GCGCTTTGATTGAATTCTGAGTCTAAATCTAAATCGGAGAAAATCCACAGAATTTTTTGCTAAGTGGATGTTATTAATCAAGCGCGGGTTGAGTCAGTGCAAGTGTGTATGTACGGCACAGGTACAGTCGCAGATGTTGTATATCAGGCACAGGATACAGTCATAGATATACAAAATGTACGCTGTAGTAAATTTTACTTTTTAGAGATAATAGCGATTCATACAATGGATTTAGGCATAGTCAAGCTTACATATATTTTCCGCGATATATTCACTAAGCCAGTTATTGTTACCGTTTTGGCGATTACAGTCTTCCATAAAGTAGATTTATTTAAAATCAGAAATTTTCTTTCCTCCATATTAACACATTTCGTATTTTTCATTAAAAAACAATCCATACTTAATCAACAACATATAGTTTAATACGTTGAACAATCCGGAAAATCTTGCTCTGACATTCCGTTTTTGATATTAGTGAGCAGGTACAGTCATGGATGTCCGGTACCAGCATTGCCGAGTACAGTTGCGGATGATAGCTGACAGCCACTGTTGCGAAAATGAGGCATTAAACAGTATTGCGTCAGAGTACTCTCAGTCCTTTGATGAATTTCCTTAGTGGCTGCTAGCTTCTACGGGCTTTATGGTTGCTGTTATTGGCTGCTAGCTTCAGTCTAGTGCTTTTTCTTCTCATAGGAATGAAGTTCTGTTGACATTTGAAAGATCGGGGCTGTCGAATGTTTTGCTTTATTGTCATTTTGAAATATATAAACATCACCATTAATGACGTGTCCAGCTAGATTAGTTAAAGGAAGAAAAAACATTCAAATATTTTTCATAAGGATATCGAGTTTTCTATGCATTCTGTGCCATTTTTCGAAAGTTTTAAGAGCTACAAATACATCTGATAGATCTTATTGATTATTTCCTCCAAAGTGAAAATAAATCTTCATGATAAAGAAAATTAAAAGAGTAAATATATGAACGTGATAAATCATGAAAAAAATACTGAGGATAAAGGAGGAACCTTGGGGAATTGTGATGGCAATGGTTTGTTATACCGGGGGTATTTCTTGCTTTTAAACAGGAAAAGCCTCGAAATGACTTATTTCAAGGTTTTTTTTTCCTTTTAGAATCTTCTCCTTTTAGAAGAATTGTATTGAAACCATAACTTCTTAATTTTTTTCCTGGCGTGTACTTGTTAAATATCAATAACGTAAGTAGGACATCTCTGTGAATTTCCTGTTACTGGCGGTCTGATTGGTTGTTGATAAATGTTGGATTTGGTTCTTAGTGGTTTGTTCTGTTAGCATAAAGCCTAGGTGTAAGTTAAACAAGGAAAACACGCTGATTCTCCTTTTCAAATAACAGAAGAGCTACACAGAGAACTCAAGATTGGTTTCTTTAATGTTGAATTATGGTTGCTATCTACAGTGGAATGATACGATGTTATTAGGGAAAAACAGGAAGTTTGAATGTTTTTTCTTTGTTTTTAATTGACGATTGAAAAAAAATGTGACCGCGAATGATATTTGAGAAATATATTGTTATCGGACACAGGTCTTTTTTGAACATTTTAAATGAAAGATAAGATATGAAGTTACATGTAAAATAGCAAAGAAATCGTTGTTTATTTGAAATGCTTACGTAAAGCATTTAATAGCTCAATAATTTAAGTCTTGAAGAAAAACTCAGATCAATTCATTTTCTGTAGGAGTTTATTTTTTTAATCTTGAGAATGTTCATTCCCTAGTCTTATCTGATAAGGCTACTTAGTTTTATCTTTAAGCCTCATGCACTCCCACATCAATTTATTTATTTTTTTATGCCCCCGTTATCGAAGATTCGCGGGGGCATATAGTTTTTGTCCTGTCCGTCCGTCAGACAGACTAGCTGTTTGTCTGTCCGCAAAAATTTTAACATTGCCCATAACTTTTGATTGGTTGGAGCTTTGGCTTTCATATTCCACGTGTGTATTCCTTGTGACAAGACCTTTCTGTGGGTACCATCATATTTGACCTTTTCACCTTGAAGTTTGACCCAATTTTGCAAAATTTTATGAGCTTGGCCACAACTTTTGAACAGTCTATGTTAAGGCTTTCATACTTCACATGTGTATTTCTTGTGATAAGGCCTTCTTTTGGATACCAACAATTTTGGCATTGACCTTGACATTTGAGTTTGACCTACTTTTAACAAATTTTAACCTTTGCCATAACATTTGAACGTTTGTTTCTAGGACTTTCACATTTCACGATTATGTGTATCACTTGTTACAAGACCTTCCCTTTGGCACCATTGTACCTTGACCTTACCGTTTTACTTACTTTTAAAAACTTTATCCTTCACCATAACTTTTCAACGGTTGGTGCTAGGGCTTTCATATTTCACAGGTACATTCCTCGAGACAAGAACTTCCTTTGGATACCAACATTTTTGATCTCTTGACCTGGAGTTTTATTTGCATTTGAGAAACTTTAAACTTCTCCATAAGCTGCAATACGAGGCATCAGTGTTTCACAAACACATCTTTTTTTTTTTTGTTCAGTAAGTATATTTTACAACACCGTTCAGTTTATATTATGGAACATTTACAAACAATATACTGATGAATTATAAACTCTTACATTAGAAGTTTTTGGTATATAATATAACCTATTATTTATCAAACAGCAAGGGCGGTAATGGTAACATTATGTTTATACAGGATATGTATATACTACTTTACTGTAGATTGCAGCACTAACTATAGCTGTCATAAGAGGGTAATAAATAATTGCCTCTAAATGCGCTCTTTTTCAAACCTTTCGACTAGCGAAGAAATCACAACTGGTATTCTATGATTTACATGTAAGAAGTTGTGCGCGCAGGGTTGCATTACACTAGGGTGACCATTGAGGCCTTTGTCCTCTAGTTGTAGATAAATGTAGGTTATTTAAGGCCTTATTTGTTCTCAGGATGAAAATTCCCTAACCATTTTGCACAACTATATCACACTGCCAATCATATTCCAAAATATGATTTAGCTACTGCTTAAAATGTGAGAGGATTTCTGGAAACATGGTTGTTGTAGAAAACGTCCTTTTGGCCCCGATTGGCTAGATGAAAATAAAATTTGAAAGATTAATTTCATATCTACAGGACAACACCAATCATATTCCGAAAGATAATTTTGCTAATGCATAAAATTTAAGATATATGTGATTTCTGGAAACATTGTTTCTGTAGAAATACATCTTTTTTTCTGTTACTAATTTGACTGCAGTATGAAGAAGAAAATTTTGAATTTTAAACCTTATTGCACATCTACAGGACACCACCAAACACATTGCAAAAAATAGTTCCCTAGTGCTGAAATGTAATAGAGTTTGAGAAAAAATGAACGTGTGACTGACGGACTTACGGACGGAAGGGGATTAAATACCCGAACTTTCTTTAGAAATACAAATACAGAATCTAGTTAACTGTTGATTCACAAAACAGATTAAAGGTCTACATTACTGAATAACAATTGACGACCCCAAATGAGTCCTGACAATTGATTCCTCAAATAATCTTTTTTAATATTTTTACCAGCATATAATTGTACAAATTGGATATTATAAATATGTGTGGATTGTTTTTACAAGAAATCTTTTTATTAGCTTTATTGAAGCTACATATTGTACTATATTATAATGCAAGAGGTGACGATAACAAACAGACGTCAATCCAATAAATCAGTAAACAAAACGAATCGTGAACAGGGATAAAAAAAAAAAAAAAAAACGTGGAGCTATTGAAACACCAGAGCTGGGATCAGGTGCCTATGAGGAGTAAGCATCCCCTGTCGACCTGTCATACCCGCTATAACTAATATATACAACAGCATAAGAATTGAAGCTGAAACGATCATTATTCATGCTGGTTGCTGGGACTTTAAGGTGAATTTGATTTATTGTGATCTTTTCCACACAAATTCTTTTTTCTTTATTTCTTCACTTAACCACTTTTAAGAAACAATATCACGGAGTTCGGTTTCGAGTAAAAATCCGGTTTTTGGAGCTGGTTTTGACAACAAACACATTTAAACAATATACAAAGTATCACTGAAACCACTGTATTTTTACCACAGAAAATGAAAGAAAAAAAAGAACATGTACATTTGGTGTTTCAGTCAGAAATGGATCTTGCATTAATTATTAAGTCGTCGAATACTAATGAAGTATTATATAATGGTTTTTTGGCTTATTACTCATTCATTAACAACGTGAAGAAATGATCCGCAAAATATGTCAGGTTAAAATGTCATGTGTGTGTGTGTGTGATAATGTTTGCCATATTAAATAAATCAAAGCAAAGTGAAACTTGGATTATTCAGTAAATTAACAAGCATAGTAAAACTTGGATTATTTAGTAAATTAACTTTTTGCTTTTATTTAGGAAACATGTTTAGTTAGTTAAATTAATGATCTGAGAAGTTCTCCGACTGACATTTCTAAATTTAACAGAAACAAAGTAACATATTTTTAAAAGTTTTTAATAATAACGTTTTATGAGAACAGTATCTCAATAATGAACTATGGACAATTTTAATTTTTTTATTTTATTTAAATTATTTTTCTATTTCATTTATTTTTTGATCGTCTTTTTTTGGAATATACAATGTATTAAAAAAGACTTTTGACTTCCCATCCTTACATTACACGGGATAAACTTTCTTTACGATATCCAAGAAAAGAAGGGAAGGAAAAAATGATATGGAATGTAAAGGGTGAACACTTTTCCCATAAATCCTGTAAAGAATCCCTAAACAGGGGGAAAATGCGGACCCCAAGAAATACTAAACATGATCCGGACATAAGGTTGTAATATCAAGAAAACAGCAGACCTAGTTCACAGAAGTACTTTAAAAAACAGGCTTATCTTTCCAACATCCATCAGGTGATGATATAACTTTCACAGAGACGGAAGCACTGACATCTCAAAATAAGAGGAAGTTCCATTAGTGAAGGACACACATTATGAACAAGACAACCATCTTAAACGTGTCTGTAGATTGCATCAGACCAGCTACAAACTTTACCGAACACAAGAATGCAGCACCTGTGACGCTTCTATTCTTATTTGGAGTTGCTGGAAATGCCATAGCTCTTGTTGCTTTATGCTGTTCTGCTAAAACTCATAAATGGCGCCCATTTTACCGATTTGTATGCGGACTTGCCATTTCTGATGGTGGAGGAATTTTAGCATCCTACCCTTTTGCTTTGTCCCGATACATATCTGATTTTACATATGAATTTTCTCCAGATCTGTGTGCTTTCCTAGGATTTGTGTTCATGTTTACTTTAATGTCATCTGCTATGATCGTGTGTTGTATGTCATTTGACAGATTTTTTGCCACTTTCTTTCCATATTTATACAACTCTACAACAAAAGAACGCCGGACAAATATTATACTGGGCACCGTGTGGAGTCTTTCGGGACTTCTCAGTAGTTTACATTTGTTCGGACTCGGATCAAGCAAACTGATGTATCCCGGTTCATGGTGTTTTCTCAATTTTATTCATGTAAGACCCGAATGTCCCGAAGATAGACTGAACATGATATATTCCTACATTTACGCCACTACCGGCGTAATAATAGTCCTTTTAACCGTTTCATTAAACACGCTGGTTGTCTTCTTCTTCATCAGGAACAGATTTGTCAGGACAACCCGAAACCAAAGAGATCTTCACGTGATTGTGTTCCTTTTGATTATTGTTATAGTGTTTACGTCCTGCTGGGCACCTCTCATGGTAAATCTTGGAGAAAGTTTTCATTTTTATCAATTGATTAAGAACAATATTCAGGAATATTCGAAATCCAACAGCGATTAATTCTAAAATAGAATACATTTACCCTCCATGACATACATGTAGAAAAGTTTGTTTTACGATTTACTTTTATAATCATTCTTTATTATTCCATCCAGAAACATGAATTTGTCTACCTTTATCCATTATTAGCTAAAGAGAATCAAAATTTATCACAAAATTTGATTTTTTAGGAAGATATACACAGTTCTTGAATAAGTAGTTACAAATTAAAGCTTATATTTACATTGCGTTATTTTCTTTAAAACTTATTCCTCAAATACCAACGGCACTATGAATGAATCTTCTTGAATACCGTATATTTCATTAGTTACCCAGGCACACAGGTAGAAAAGTTGTATATTTTGATTCAAAGTCAGTTTGGTTACACCCAAAGTGAATTTAAATTTGAAAAAAGGAAGAAAGGATATTATAAACCTCTTAGTATAGATGTTTATGTATCAGTTTTATTGCTGTGTCATATAATTCATCCTTCAACATGTCTTATGTCATATATCACACAGGTATACAACAACAGGATTTTTGAGACAAATACTATCAAAATTTTTAATAGGTACTACCTGTATTAATCCTGAGTAAGATTTTAAAATACAACAATTTGTGTTTCTTATCAGATGTATTTTTTAATTATCACTTTATCAGGTAAACATCCTTCAGCATGCCTCTGGTGCAGTAACGGGAGAGGGCGATACTGAGCTCAACTTGCTGAGGTTTGGTGTGTTAAACTCAGTCCTAGATCCCTGGATATACATTTTGTTTCGAAAAGAATTTCTTTTGTTTGTGCTTCGTGCTCTGGAAAGTGTAACTAGAAGAAAATTCAAGCTTACAAAGAAGTTATCTGGAGATTGTGCAGCCCATGTTGTCTCTTTTAATGGACATTAATTGGTCTCTTGTATGATGGTCAGATATAATGATATATGAAATAATGATAATTTTATTTCAGTTTTTCTTAATCCATATATCTTGTTTAAAAATTTTTGAACACTAATTTCTACTAAAAAGGATTATTTAACATGGAAATAAAGTTTTGGTTAATAATTATCTCATCATTAATTGATGTCATATTGATGTAATGTTCCTTCGTTATCGTTGGTACTATGTTCTAAATAAGTTTTAATGAAGACAAATACAAGCGACATTATGAAAAAAATATTAATAGTTTTCAAGAACAAGTTACAAACCATGAAAATTATGATTTAAAAGAAACAGTTGATTTAAACTTCGTACTTAGACCTGTTATCTTCTGAAGAAAAAAAGGTGAACTGTGATCGATAGCATATAAATCCTTAAACACATTCAAATTGTGAACAGGGAAAAAAACAAGGACCCCTAGAGATATCAGAGATGGAATCAGGTACCTTGGAGAACTAAGCATCCCGTGTTGACAGCTGGCGTAAGCCCTCAGTATTGATCAGGTAAACGGAGCAATCTTTAGTCAAAATTTTTACAAAAAACAATAATTAACCTCGCAAATTGGTATGAATCATTTCCAAACGAGGCCATTTTAACTACCAAAAGGTTTGCGATATGATGACATAAACGAGATTGTTGAAAGCCCTTTACCACCTTATTTATCAGTTGTCTTCCTCGGTTTTAAAACTGATCATACTCAGAGTATTTTCTTAAGTACCGAATCGAATTGGAGAAAGAAACATCATATGCAGGTGATTGTAGAATGACACTGAATAAATAAAGGAACTTAGCGATGGAAAAGTCGTCCTACTTGTCATATAGTTTAGTTGTTCGTTGGTGATTAACATCTATAGTCAGTAAAACATCCAAATGCATGATTAAAATAGACATGGTAGCCTTACCTTGTCTTTTATTTCAAGTTCTTAAGGATATATCGAGTCGACATACGAATGAAAATAAAATATACGAAAAAAAAATGCATAAATTGATATTCATTTGACTGAATTTGAACAGAAATGACATTCATGATAAATTCCTAAAATATAAAGAAGTCATATATATATATATACATGTATATATATATATATATATATATATATATATATATATATATATATATATATATATATATATATATATATATATATATATATATATATATATATATATATATATATATATATTAAACAAATATAAAAAGAAAACAAAAGAATCCTCCGTAAAGCTTTAGCGCTTTCATTTAAAATCTTCAGAAGTTTTACAATGTAAAGTAATGTAAAGCTTCTGAAGATTTTAAATGAAAGCGCTAAAGCTTTATGGAGGATTCTTTTGTTTTCTTTTTATATTTTTTTATTATTGTAATCCGATTACTGAGACTTTATTTCAATTTTGGATATATATATATATATATATATATATATATATATATATATATATATATATATATATATATATATATATATATATATATATATATATATATATATATATATATATATATATATATATTATTTATTTATTTATTTATTTATTTATATCGCTTGTTTCAGAAAAAAAAGTTTGCATTATTTATCTTTAATTAATAAAGCGTATATATCGAAATATCGAATTGAAGGCCACAGGAAGAGTTTTATTCATTCTCATACAGAAGTTTTTGAATACATTCTGTTACAAAAGAATATCAAAACAAGTCGGCTAATAAACAGGCACAATTAGCGCCCATCGAAACTCCAACAGATTGTTGGAAGACCTAGTCTACAAAGACTACATGTACCTAGATATTGTTAATGAAGAACTCCAGCACCTTTAAGTATCATCAGAATAAATGTATGTAGAATCAGAATGATTTTGTAGATGACAGAATTTGCAAATTTCCGAGTTCCATTTTGATTGAAGTTGTCTATGATGTCAAAAAACTTGATTTTGGTTTATCTTGAGGAATGGTTGTATAAAGTATATTAAAAACGTCATACGTTTTTGATGCAATTAATTTTGGATTTTGTGATTTTAGATTCTGTGATTTTAATTTTTTGAAAAGGTCTTTTGGAATTTTTGAGAATCTATATTTGATTATTTGATTAACACCATTTCGTGAATAAGTAAGAGCAAAATACGTCCGAAATGTCTTCAGAGAAGTTGATCTTTTTGGAGGAGTAAAGACAGAGGCTTAGTAGAAAATTTGCTGGACCATGCATTGTATCTCTGTAAGGATTTTTTAAATGAATTTTTGGAATCAAATTCACTTTCATTTACTGGAATATCAAAAGTATTTAAAACTGAAAGGTGATATTGAAGAATTTCATCTTTTGAACTGCGATTGCTTGTTGCTTCACATCCCATCCGAGAATTTTTTTTTTTCACTCGTATAGAGATGTCACCATCTTTAGGATGATGTGCTGCATATTTTGATGCAAGGCCTGTCAGTTTGTTAATAAATTAATAAAATTGTAGTTATGAATTATGTAAGTACACTGTCCATAAAGTGTACTAGTATATACATGTAATTGTTACATATAATACATGTAATATTCCGTCTACCTGATCAGTATATAGGGCTCACAGCGGGTGTGACCGGTCGACAGGGGGATGCTTATTCCGGCTAGGGATCCCATTCTGGAATTTCCTTGGGTCCGTGTTTTATGCTCTGTTCGCAGATTTGTATTGTGTGTAAGATTTTTTTTTAGATCGATCACTGTTGGTCATCACCTTTTTCATTTGTAAATTCAGTATATTCAATATTTTTTCTTTATTTTATCTTATTAAACATATGCATCTTCACTTTTTTTTTTAATACAAAACGCAACTGTCAAGCTTATTTTGTGCATAAGTAAGATTTACTGACAATTGTTTCATCTCTATCTCTGTTGACATTTTCACAAAAAACTATACAATCTGTCTTGAGATTTATATTAACAAATATTAAATAATAACAACAAATATTAAATCAGTTTTGCATTCTTAGACGAAGGAACAAGTGAAACGACAGTTGTGTCGCTTAAGATTATTCTTAAGTAAATTTCAAAAAAGGAACGTTATCGTAAGCATCCCTCGTTGTCAGTCTATTGAGGATATTATAACATTTTTATTAATATAGCTTTAACAAAAGTTAAATCATTTCCAAGCCATGGTGCTCATGTATTGTATTAGTTATCCAGGTTCAATCAAAGGTGTACGGGGATTTTACCCCGGGTTGAAATCCATACACCCTGAGGCCTTCGGCCTTGTTCCTTCTTTGTATTCCATACACCCTTGGTTGGACCTGGATAACGAATTTATTTCCTATGTACCCAAATAAATTCTTTAATGCTAAGCTAAGTAGATAAGAGTTATTGACTCCGTCTGGATGGGACACCATTCCATCGCAGTTGACTCCCCGCTTGAGCTGGTACACATGAAATGTAAAGATTCAGCAGTTAACTACTCGCTTGAGCTGGTACACATGAAATGTGAAGATTCAGCTTGGTGCACAGAAACAATGCAGATAACCTGCCTTTTCAAAGGACAACACACAACTTCAAGTGTCCACCATGGGATTTGAACCAGAGATCTTTCATGCATCTACTAAAAAAATACCATGACCACTGAGCCATGTGCTCCTCTACAATGAAAATAGTTACCATGGACAAAAATAATATAAGGCATAGATATTTTTATTGACCTAACCTTGATCACAATTTTATTCAGCACTACCAAGCCACTAGAGAGTTATTTGGCCCAAATTGTGTATATATTTCCAAATTGTCAAAACTTATAGTTAATTATCCAAATTCCAAAAAAAATGTCACAATCGATATCACCATAATCTGAAAAAGAATTCATGGTAAATATTAAGCTAAGAAATTCCATACGAAAATGTGTATCATAAAAAATATCATGAAATAAAAAAAAGTCTCGTTTAAAGTCATCATTTCGTAAGTTCTATGGTCCATACAATGACCTTGTCAGCAAATACAATCTATCATTAAGTCAAATCCTGACTGACGTTTTTCATACTAATTGTTAGGCCATTATTTACACACTGAATTGTGTACAGATCTATTTTGCTCTGCTCCTGATTTGTATTGTTTTAAATGGACGTTTTAGCTTGAATACTGTTCGTTATCTCAATATATATATTTCATTTAAAAGTAGCTGCCTTTATCAGGAGGTGATTAGAGAATGATTAGCGTAAAACATATTATGTAAATAATGTGTGTGAAAAGTTACTTGGGTTATCATTTTGCATTTCTAACTGTCCTAGATACATAAAGTTAAAATTCCCAAAACTTCCTTCTCAAATCAACACAAAACGGCAGTTAAAATAAGGAAGACATAAAAAATGACATAATATTGAAAACTTTTATCTTACCACTTTCAATTTCAAAGCAACAATAATATTTTATAGGCTGTAAGTTGTCTTTTTTATTATCATTGATATCATATGATATGCTTAATTCGATATGATTCTAGATAGAGAACAAACAAAGGAAATCATTTGAATATCGCCAAAGTCAACTGTCCACAACTTGTGAACCTGTATCACATATCATTTGCTGTTTCAATACTGGGTATTTCCTTTTATGCCTCATTTATCATTTTAGCAAGGAGCTGATAATAAAACTTATACCAAGTGAAAGTTTATGTCATACTGTTAGCAGATTCCTGTCTCGAGAAACGTCATGCAAAGCGAAAATATCACCACTACCACTGAGGACATTACTATGATACCTATGTCCACAACAACACATGTTTATGAGAACGCAGCACCTGTGACTCTTCTGTTTATATTCGGAGTGGTTGGAAACGCAATTGCTCTTATAGTTTTGTGCTGCTCTGCCAAAACTCACAAATGGCGCCCGTTTTACAGATTTGTTTGCGGTCTTGCTATCTCCGATGGGGGAGGAATTTTAGCTTCCTATCCCTTTGCAGAATACCGTTACATATCTAAATTCAATTATACCTTTCCAAAGCCATTGTGTGATTACCTAGGCTTCGTATTCATGTTCACACTGATGTCTTCTGCTATGATCGTGTGTTGTATGTCATTTGACCGCTTCTTTGCAACTTTCTATCCATTCCTTTATAACTCTTCTAAGAAAGAACTCCGAACTAATATCACACTCGGAGTTGTATGGTGTTTATCGGGGATCCTCTGCAGTCTTCATCTGTATGGATTTGGATCAAGCAAAAATGTCTATCCTGGTTCGTGGTGTTTTCTGAACTTTATTGAGTTAAAAAATAGCACAATTCACCCAAAGGCAAGAGAGAACATCATATACTCCTACATATATGCCATAACTGGAGTTATAGTTGTCTTTCTGACCATCATAATTAATATGGCGGTTGTGGTCTTCTTCGTCAGGAACAGAATTGTCCAGAGGAAGAGAAGCAGAAAACGAGATCTGCACGTGATTGTATTCCTCCTGGTCATCGTCACGGTGTTCACATCCTGTTGGGCACCTCTTATGGTAAATTTAATTTCAAAAGGGTATGAAAACTTTTTTTATATATATGCATGAAGTTGGTATTTTTACGCAGAATTTGTTTAAGCATTTCTTCAATAGTTATAAGTAGATTCTCCTATGAGGCAATTTCTTTAAACGGCTTAAAAATTATAATATCTCTGTCGTTAAATATAATACGATTTTTAAAGTTTCTTCATGTCCTTTTTTATTTTGTAAAATTCTCGAAGAAATTTATTAGAATGAAGTAGGGGAAAATAACTAAAAGTGATCTATCTAAAAAGAAAATCTACAAACAATATAAATCTGTGAACAGGGCATAAAACGTGGACCCCCTGGAAATTCCAGAGGTGGGATCAGGTCCCAGGAGGAGAAAGCATCAGCTGTTGACCTGTAAAATCCGCCGTGTGCTCAATGTATTATTGATCAAGTAGACGAAGTCAAATTTAGCGCCTAAGCATTGTTTATGATCTAATGAAGGTGTATTTGATAATAAGGTTATTACAACGAGCATAAAATTTACAAAAAAAAAAAAACACAAAAACGAATGAGCTACAAATAAATGTGAACACACCATAAAATATGTATTGTTAACTTTTATCATGCATCAAAATTTTAACAGTGTTCTTTGATAATACAGGTAAACATACTTCAGCATGCTTCTGGTGCTATTGAAGAAGAAGGTAAAACGGAACTTAATCTACTGCGCATGGGCGTCACAAATTCTGTTGTAGATCCATGGATATATATTCTTTTCCGGAAAGAAGTTCTCCTTCTTTTGCTGGGTGGTATGGAACGTTTGGTCGGGAAGAAATTTGAAATCCGCCACGAATTGACCGGAATGTCAGGAACTGGGGATACAAGCAAAGTGTCGGCATCAAACCGTACTCCAAGTACTAAACTATCAGATGACGGCGGGGTATATAAAGGGTCGGCATCAAACCGTTTTTCAAGTACTAAACTATCAGATGACGGCGGGGTATATAAAGGGTCGGCATCAAACCGTTCTTCAAGTACTAAGCTATCAGATGACGGCGGGGTATATAAAGGGTGATGCATAATAAATGGAACATTTTAACATAGAGCATGGCTTTTATGAATAGTTTCTCCTTTATAACTGAAAATATTTATATGAATGATTATTTTAAATTTGAAAGGTAATTTATTTATTTTCTAAATAAAAAAAAATTTAAAAGAATAAAAAGACTGCTATGAATATACCAATTGACTTCTTAATAAATTTGAGATACACTCTATCTAAATACCGTCGCCCGCGTTGCGCAGTGGTTATAGCGCCTGATCTAGAGTCGCAAAGTAAGGAGCTGATCCTTACGTCGCGGGTTCGAATCCACTGCAGGACGTGGAGACCGGTCCTTCGGATGAGACCGTATAAACCGAAGTCTCGTGTCGCAGTAGGTGTTGGCACGAAAAAGATCCCTCACTGCTTAATGGCCCTAAGTGCCGAGTATAGGTATATATTTGCATTCTCCACCGGCAAACAGTGGTGTCTCCATATGAGTGAAAAATTCTTGAGAGGGACGTTAAACAACATTCAAACGTACAAACTATCTAAATATCTCTGACTCAGGATCACGCCTCGTAATGAGAGTAGCTCAGTTTTAAATCAATCCTTGTGTGGAATTGAAAGAAATAACACAAAAAACAAGGAAGGCAAATACATTTTTGTGAACCTTAAGGAAAAAGGTGTTATATATGTAGAGCGTTAAAACAGGATGATCAGTTGCAGGAAATATTTTTTGTGCATTCCATTGATAGGATTTAGCTAAAAAAGACAGTTCTTGGGAAAAGAGTATAATCTTAAGTTCCTTTCTCATAGTGGTTAATAGGTTGACATATATTTCAATCCTGTTTTTAGAGATTGAAAATTATATCTCGTGAAAAACTTTTCCTTGAAGCATTCATGTAGTATTGTGGTTGGATCAAATGATTAGGGTGATTTATTCTGGATATCTCTTCCGGGAATTTATACTACTGGGGCGCTTAGTTAAGTTTACAGGGGTTTTTTTAGCTTTTTAATTAGATTTTAAAAAGTTTTGTTCTAATTTAGTAAGAAAGCTTTCTCATGAAGAGATAAAAGTTATTTGCGTACATTATCATGATAAATTTAAAAGAGAGCAATTAATGTATTATCCGATGATACAAATTTTATTCTGATAAGAATAGAAAGACTGCAATGAGTAACACATCGGCTGACTTTTTTGATATTCAAAATTTATTCTTAAAAAAAGATATCTATCTTCTTATCGAGAAAAACGTTATTTGGTCTTTTGAACAATTGATGAAATATATGGAGTATATAAACAGTATTCAAGCTCAAAAGTCCATTAAACAATACATTTTACGGAGCAGAGCAAACACCGTCCTCTAAAACATCAGAGGTGGGATCAGGTGCCATGGAGGAGTGAGCATCCCCTGCTGACCGGTCACACCCGCCGTGTGCTCCTTGTCATGATCGGGAAATAATGGGAAAATCCATTGACAATTTAGTGTGTAAATAATGGCCTAACAAGTATGAAAAACGTCAGTCAGCATTTGACTTAATGTTTAAGGAATCACCACCTGATAAAGGCAGCTACTCTTAAATGAAATACGTGTATATATTGAGATAACGAACAGTATTCAAGCTCAAACGTCCATTTAAACAATACAAATCAGGAGCAGAGCAAAATAGATCTGTAGGCAATTCAGTGTGTAAATAATGGCCTAACAAATAGCATGAAAAACGTCAGTCAGGATTTGACTTAATGATAGATTGTATTTGCTGACAAGGTCGTTTTATCGACCATAGCACTTACGAGATGACGACTTTAAACGAGACTGCTGATATTCTTGTTTCATCAACTTGTTTGTCAATAACTTTCCTCGTTTTAGATATTGTTCATACATAGATCATGCTCTTGCGTATCGAATCAACTGATATAAACCACGTATGCAGGGTGATGGATATTTATTAAAAGTAAAACAAAACGTGATACTCTTTTCAATTATTATACCTCCCCCCCCCCCCCTTGAAAAGCAGCTTATATATAGTGTTTGGTGTGTTCGTCCGTACGTGTGCCTGTCTGTCCCCACGTCCATTGCTCTTGGTGGTATCCATTTCTTATCTGCAACTCCTTCTAATCCAGTGAATAAAATTTAATGAGTTTTCCAAGAATCTCTGTCACATAGTCCATAGATCACCTCTTATTTTCTGTTTTTATTGGACAGATATTTTTGCTTTACCAAAGCAAAATATGGACCTTGCAAGTCATACAAGGGCGGTGGTATCATTTTGTGAGCCTAGTGCTCACAGTACCTCTAGTTTTAACAAGAAGAAAGGAAAGCACAGATTTTATCAATGAATTATTTGTTTGAAATATGAAATGCTTGGATCGAAATGTTATCAAGCTAACACACAGCTTTTTGTCTGGTCACTGCAATGATCACAACTTACCTATCTCCCTTTTTGATTAATTTTGGAAATTTCGCTGTTAAGAAAATCATAAATACGAGGGATGATCAAAAAGTTCGCGAACTAATTGAATTACTTCCATAAAAGACGTAAAATTAGGTTTCCGTGTTCATTATTTTTTTTAAGTAGTCCTCTCCGATTTTAATGCACATCTGCCGCCGTTCTGCCCATGCGCGAATCACGTGATTCAGGCTATCACGTGACATGCTCCGTAGCGTTCTGTTTCAGAAGCTGAAAGATTTTTCCTCGTCTTATATTTCTTACCATGCAAGTTGTTTTTTAAAACAAGAACAGTCTATTTGTCAGAAATGGCCAAATCTCGGCAATAGGATGGGTGGATAAGGATATCCTTTTCCCAGAATGATCACGGTGAACATCACATCATCTGTCTTGGGAGCGTTGTTTATCCAATGTGGATAAAGAATGGGTTCCTTCTTTTTATCATATCTGATATGTTTAAATTCTTAAGTAAACGAAATTTTAGGGATTTAATAATTATATTATTGTTAAGATATTCAACTATTTTTCTAACTGTAACTCGGCGATCTTTCATAACGGTTGCTCAACTAAGGACACATCTCTTTCCCAGCTTGCTTTCACTGGGCAAAAGAACAAACGTCATTATTAATCATCTCCTTTTCTTCACTAAAACAATCAATCCAATTAATGATTAAACTTCTGGAAAGTCTTTTGTCTTCATAAACCTTGTACAGATTATTATATACTATTGCACAGGAATTTCCAAGATATACCTTAAACTTTACCGCTCTTCGTTACTAGGGTGTGACTGTGTCAACCATTTTTTGTCACGTCACCTACAAATTGACGTCATTTTCACATTGTGAAATCACAAACATTGAGCAAAACATTACATAACATCTGCTATTTATAGAATATGTGTATGACTATATGTGTGCCAAATTTTATTCTGATCTGAATTGTGGTTTTGTAATTATAGAGATAGTTCTCGAACTTTTTGATTACCCCTCGTATACTTGTAGAATTTTTCGGGCACCTTAACCTTTAAAGTAGAAATAACCAGTGGACCATAATTACTGGCAGAACTAAATAGCTCTTTGCTACTTAGTAAGTTTTTGAAAGATATTTCTCTTGAGTTTTCATCTTGTGCAACAAATTCAGTTTTATTTGATTAAAAAAGTATAAATTAATTAAGGGTTTTGAACTTATTCTTACTCTGACAAACAAGAATTGATGTCCACGCACAAAGTATTTTGTTTTGTTTTATTATCGAGTTCAGCAGCTGCCGAACTATTTGTGGTTGTGTTAGAATGTGCAAATTGGGATATGAGACGTTATTTTTTTTTCATTGCTTTCGGTGAAATAATTCCTTATTGATAACATGCATAAATATAACGAATAAAAGTTTTTTTTTTTTCAAAAATTGCTTAATACTAAGTCTAAATGGTTGTTATTATGTTTCAATTTGTTTTTCATTTCTCATCAGATGTTTTTTTTTTTTTTTTAATTTAATGATTGTACAAAAAGTTGTTTCATGAACTGCTCCCAAACATGGGTGTGTTTAATATATAAATAAAACGAAAATAAAAAAAAACTTCTCGCCAATGAATTGCATGTCTATAATATTATCTCATAGATGAAGATATTTTATGATCGTACGTTTAAGAAAACAATTAATCAGAAAACATTTCAATAGCACTTGCATGTAGTTTAGGGTAGCATTGAAAATTATCACCCTCGAAAACCATTGTCAACCTCGCATGCACCCCAGAAAGCAAAATAAAAAAATGAAACAAATAGCGAGGAGGAAATCGATTAATTAATACGTAATTCGATCAAATATGCACCAAAAGTAAAGCAAAGTTTGTTTCCAATCATTTTATCTACTAAAACTAAACACATAAAACTCATGATCGATTTGTTAGCAATGTGAAACCCTACGTCTAAATGATATTAAAAAATCTCCAGCTATTTATCTTGCTTTCTGTCTTGTTCACCTAGCTGAGATAGTAAAAAAAAATCAGATCTCATGATATGATTAACAATAGACATCTGGGAGGGGAGGGGTGGAAATTGTATCAATTATATACATACTATACAACTATACATTTGTTGAAATTGTCATCTGCACCTTTAAACTAGAAATAATCAGATGACCCTTCTTTTCAGGTGATCTACAGTGTTTGTTTCTTTTGTATAAATTGTCTATTGCCTTGATTGTCTGAATAGAAGCGGGAACAGGCAATGTATTTTGGAGATCCTCTAAAATTTTAAAATTATTGGTAATGCTAAGAATCATCTTCAGTCAATCAAAAGCTAAGATTGTTTAGATATCTGTAGGTGCTACAGAAGTTTATTCTGTATCGAGTCGGAATTAAATTGAAAAAAACAACCCACGAATGCTGCCCGGAGCACCTTACATCATGTGCAACATTTCAATGCATTATCACGTCATCTGCCTAAATCGAACTTGACCAGGGATAGTTTGATCTACCCTACCTATATTGGATTCCTAAACATAAAAAAAATCCTTACAAACAGAGTTGCAGGGTCAAGCAAATGCTCTACTAAGCCCCTATCTTTACTACTTACAAAAATATTAA